ACGATATGTGTAAATAATAATAAGTGAGATTTTAGTTTTAGCTAGTTAGATAAAATTTTCTACTGTTTGTTGTGAAAATTAAATTTTCCAATTGATTTTTTAAATAGACTTAGGGGGCGTCCATTAATCACGTGAGCGATTTTTGAGGATTTTTAGACCCCCCTCCCCTTTGGTGATATTCAAATCACCCCCCTCCCCATGTGTATTTTAGTTACGTGAAAAAACTGTAAAATTTTTGAGTTTTTTATGAAAATGTTTGAATTTTTTTTATAAAAAATAAAAACATTTTCATAGGTCTTTAATATTTAGGAACTTATCGATATACTCTTCTTTTATCTATGTTAAAATTCATTAAAAACGTAAAAATTGCATTTAATTAAATTTAATTAAATTTAATTTTACCAAAACTAATCAATATGAATTTGCTTCAGGATTTTTGAATAATCTTTCTTTCACTTTTCTGCCAATTCTAAAAAGAACGAGCTCATGTGCCGAGGCAAAACTAACCAAATTGTGTCATTTTCACCAAAGAAATCTTTTTCATCATATTGGATTTTAAACTTTTAAAATCGGTTTAGCCGTTTTTTTTATGTAACGTTTTTCAAAATGTCGGCTCGCACACATTATACTTTCTCCAAATTTGTCTTAATAATGCTTCAGAACTACTTGAAACGTCTAAAAAAACTCAAAATTAGCATATTGGATTTCTAGAAATCTTTCTTTCGGGGAAGCAAAATCCCTCTCTCTAGCAAACTTTTTTTCGGGGAGTTAAATATTACATACAGTTTTAGAAACGTAAAGTTTCAATTAAGAAAATCGCATTTATCAAAAATTTTAACATACTTGTCTATGTCCTAATAAAACATAATCCTTTTTCAAGTGTCCTTCTGCTACTCCGCACGATATAAGATTTTTACTGCGGTCAACATCGCTTGTGAAGGCAACTTATCTGAAAATCATTTTGGAAATTATCATTTAAAATAAATATAAAATATATTTATGGCATTAATATAAAATTTATTGTTTCAAATACTAACCGCTCCAGTTTCCGATTAGGCAAATTCCAAACACTGTTAAAATTATAGCCTGGTGCATGGGCTCCTACGGACCTTCATCCTCGTCCCTGGTAGATTTTGCCATCTCCTCCCACTGCAAAGCTATGGAAAAATTATTATGGCATAATATAAAATTTATTGTTTCAAATACTAACCGCTCCAGTTTCCGATTAGGCAAATTCCAACACTGTTAAAATTATAGCCTGGTGCATGGGCTCCTACGACCTTCCATCCTCGTCCCTGGTAGATTTTGCCATCTCCTCCCACTGCAAAGCTATGGAAAAATTATCAGTAATTTTTACAGACTGAGCAAAGCAAGAAAAAAATCAAACAAGTAAGTACTATTTTGCCCTAGGTTACATGAATTGCCCGACTTGTGTCAATAATCGAGATAATCAATAAGGTTAGAGATTTAGCTATACTATTTTTTTTTTCAGAAGCATACCTGTAGCCTATGTCTGCCCATCCGTTAGTCTGCTGGTGATAGTTCTGCATCGATTTCATGGCGCTGGCGCAAGTTGGTTGACCAGATCCACCGCATGGTCCAGGACTCACGGAATGGTGAATTATAACGTGGGATAATGTGGAAGTGATGTGTTGGACATTTGTTGGAGGCTTTGCTCCCCATTGGGCGCGCGTTACTATCGGACAGGTACCTGAAAAAAATTGTTATATATTTAAATTTATATATATATATATATATATATATATATTAATTTATGTATATATATATATATATATATATATATATTAATTATGTATATATATATATATATATATATTAAGGTGGTCCTTAATATGGACATTTTCCATTAGTATGGACATGCTATTTCCATACGAAGTTTGATTGAATTGCGCACTATCTAAAAGTTAATATTAAGAGCTAAAACTTTCAGAGAATTGTTTTTTATCAATTTGGAACCATTTGAGCCCTTGGGAGCAAGGAAATTCGAAAATTTCCATATTAAGAACCACCCTAATTAATATATATATATATATTCCTACTGATATCGCTTTTGGCTCAACTCTGCTTGAGGTTTACAAAAGTCTTCGACATCATTTTTCGAAAATGAGTATTGCATTATAAGTTTAAAATTATGAAAAACAAAAATTTACCTTAATTTGCCAAACAGGAAAAGCAGGAAAACTGAATGCGCAATACAGTTATTTATTTATTTACAAAAACATTTTGATCTTGAAATTAAATTTTATTAATTTCTTATCTATACTTCAGGAAACGTTATGTTTTTTTTATAGTAGATATAAAAGTAATCAATTTGATAATTCAATGGGAATAACCATTGTTTGATTAGAAATCTTTTACTACGATTTAGCTTTAGAATTTTTCAGTAATAACAATAACTTTGATGATATCTTTTATTTATTAAATAACGTCTATTTTGGCTATTTTGGCTATTTTGGCTTTGATGTTGATATAAAATTTTCCATTATTTTGTTGTCGTTTGAATTGTCTATTTTATGCCACTTCTAGCCAATTTTAATATTTTTTGCAAGTAAATTTTGCGGGATGTCGCATTAGTGGAAATCATGGTGGATGCTTAATATTGGACACGTGGATACTTAAACAGATATTTTAAATATTTTTTTATTATTCTTAGACTTTTTTAATGAATCTAAAGCCTTTTAGTGTTCCAGTGCAAACATGCAACTAAGTATAGCATATGCAAATCTTTTTGTTAACGTTTATGCTAAAAATTCTGAACTGACTTTGAAATTTCCAAAACCATTCAAGATATTTGAGCGTCGAATTGCATGATATCTTGAACGATTTTTCAAATTTCAAAGTTTGTTCAGAATTTTTGGGATGATCCCAAGTGATGGGATCCCATCATTTGGGAATGGTGCTGATTAGTTTTTTTGGTTAAGATTGACCAGGTCTTATCTTCGGAATTAATGAATAAAATATTTTTAACTTAATCATTAAATGATTTTTATTCGACTATTTCAAATAATAGTAGTATACAGTTTATTACATAAATGATCATTATTAAATATAGTTTACAAGTGGAAAATAGGTATAATTTCTTCCTGTCATTACATCATTCATTAAAATTTTGTAATAAAATAAACTGTAAAACACTGATTCAATTTATAAAAATGTAAATAGAAATGATAATTTAGGTTTTTTAATAATTGCTATACGTCTGGTCTGGTTTATATCATTCCTGAGCTTACGAGTCGCCTGGATGATCGATGTTATTGACCAAAGTTATAGGCCTAAGAAAAGTGGTTTGATTCTAAAAATTCATTACAGTTTGAAATTCATTACATTAGTTTCAAATCAACAGTAAAAATTTGTCTCGTCGCAACATACTGGGAAGTTGATGCAACTTGCCTTAAGGCTAAATTTTACTTACACCTGGTTTATTGATCATTTGAATTAATTGCACTAAAGTAAATTTAAATACATCAGTAATCTATTAATGAAATATTGTAGATTTGAATTAATCAACCTTATTTTAGAAATAAACATATAGTTTATCGTCACTGTGAGGTTTAAGCAACTTGCTTTAAGTCAAAATTTTACTTACACTTAGTTAATTAATAATTAATTACACTAAGTAAGTTTGAACACAGTAAACCATTTATTAAATATTATATATTTAAGGTCATACAGGAAATAATTTTCAAACAACCCTAAAAATGCATTCCAAATTCAGTAGTTGCACAGATTCACAAAAAAATGCTTTCTAATTAATATTTATTTATTATGAATAATCAATGTATTATTTATTTTATTTTATATGTTATTTAAAACAGAAATAGATTAATCTGTCTGTTTAAATTATATCTATTTAAATTTAAATACTTACTTGCGGCATTTGCAATAGTTAAAAGATTAAGAAGTAAAGGCGCTGCAGCAACCATCTTTTTTATTTTATTAAAAATATCACTAAAATAGTTCGCAAGACATTAATTTATTTTTTTCGAATTCTGTATTTATATCAACACATAATAATGATGGTTTTGTACTGTGCGCAAAATTACGTAAATAAATATCTAATCAATACAAAGACAAACAAAAATTACATTTTGATAATTTATTTCAAGATTAATTGAACCATTTAAAAATAAATTAAATGTTATCACTTGTACTGATCAGTTTATATTGTACTTTTGTAATCAGTTAAGTTTAGTTCATTTATGATTGTAGATTACAGAATTGAAATTATCTATATTCATTATTTCTAAATATATAAATTTTATTGTAAATATTTTGTTTGAAGTAAGTAAACAAAGTTTACTATAGCATATTTATTTAATCTTAACTAGTGGCATTTTGCTGTAAAGAAAGTTACATGAACTTCTTAATAGGTGTTAAAAATAGACTTCATTAATAACAATTGATATTTAGAAAACTTTCAAATCGTGGCGATAAAATTTGCAACTGTTTATTTTGCTTCACACTAAAAACTAATTAATGTGGTTTTCATTTGATATTATTCAAACTTAAATATTCGTAATTGTATTAATTATACGCACTTGGGGTTCCCCTTGCAATTTTATTTAAAACTTCAATGAATTTTTATATTTAAACCACTTTTCGTAGGGATTTAGTATTTTAGAACGTTCGTTTACACTCTAATCTTTATTACAATACTAAGTTTTATTAAAATCGTTAAAAAAACTTTAAATAATTACTAATAAAAGGCCTGACAGAATTTTGTCAAAGCATAGATTCCAAATTGATATTTTTCCAGAAGTTTTTGAATTCTCAAAATCAATACACGATTTTTAGCGAAAATTTTTGGCGATCCGTAAATTGTGAAGAAACAACTCAGATTTTCATTAAATGTCTTATAAATTTTTCATAGTATTGATACATAAAAAACATAAAAATTGGATTTTCTGCCGAAAACAAACTCAAGAGATATTTAGTTAAAATTAATATATTCCCAAAAATATTGTATAATAAATATGTTTTCAAGATAATAGATATGATATAGGTTCATCGAAGTCTTCACTAGTTTGGACCTAAAAAAAAAAATAAATGAAACTATTATCACATACAGTAATGATATTTATTATACCTGAAATTCCCATGTACCAGTTTTCGTTTTTATTGATAAAGGCAAATGACTTCCAATAGCTCGCTGTTCTTCTAAAACATTTTTTATTTGTGTCCATATATAAGTATCTCTAGACAAGTTTTCCATATTTCCAATGATGAATAAACCTGTAAAAAAGATATTTTCATTGGATATAAATATTCTCATAAATTGAATTTTATGATAAACTAATAAAATTACTTCTGAAATATTTATTGCATTAGAGTATCCTGTAAGCAAGTTGGATAGTAAATTAATTTATAGGTAGTCATGTTAATTATTTATTAATAGTAACGATTTATCCACGCGAACATATCGAGAATTATGTTAATGTTTAAAATTTTTACTATTTGAACAAATTAAACTCATATGTTGGGATTCCACTATAAATGCATATTATTCTTGAAAAAGATAACTATAATCAATGTTTCATTCATTAACATCAATAATTACCTTCCATTGCTCGAGATAGTGCCACACATATTCGATTTTGTTTATTTAAAAATCCAATATTTGCATCCTTATTACTTCTCACCAATGACAGAAGAATGATTCTATTTTCTTGGCCTTGGAAATTATCTACCGTCGACACTTTTACTTTTTGCAGCATATCAATATGTTTCATTTCATTCTCAATTGCTTGAACTTGTCCAGAATATGTTGATAATATAGTAATATCTTTAGAACCATATTGATTCAATTTTAGGTAATGGCATAATTTAACTATGAATTTGGCTTCATGAGTATTTTTACAACTAGTTGTATCCAATTTATGGTCTTCAGGAACATTATGGTTGACGAAATATAAATTATGTTTAAAACCTTTTATATTTCGATAGTTTAAAGTCTGGCCACCATTCTCCAAATTTTCATAAATAATTGGAGAAATCAAGGAACATATTTTAGGTTTCATTCTGTATTGTGTATTTAATGTATGATAAGGTAAACCATTATTTATTAAACGTTCAAACAGTGAAATATTAATGTTAGAAATTTTGGAGAGTTCATATGAAGCATTATGAGGTTGCAATTGTTTATGGTCACCTATCATTATAAGGTGCTCGCAATGTTTTGTTAATGAGGCTATGACATGAGCTTCAGGTATTTCAGCAGCCTCTTCAAAGATATAAATAGGAATCTTTAATTCCTTTAATATAATTTGTATTCTCGCAGCACTTGTGGTCGTCATACCAATAACTTTAGCATCTTTTAAAAATTTCATGTACTGAATGAATTTTAGCTCTTCGTATTGTTTCAACAAACTTTGATATTCTGCTGTACATTCTTTATATTTATGCAAATAATCTTTTTGAAGCATATCTACCCAATGCCAATATAGACTCCACCGATCATCAAAATTCAGTGCAGTTGCACTTGCAGTACTGAACTGTTTTTGGTTTTGAATAGGACCTATTTCCATACGAGCTTTTAAATGTTCTAACCAAAATTCCAAATCTTGTTTCTCATTTTGTATCTCTTTTATATATTCTTCATTGTGTGCTTGTTCAGATTTTCTTTTTATTTCATCATTTAATTTGTGTAAAGATGTTTGTAGATTTTCTAATGTTACTTCATACTCTAATTCACAATCTAATTTTAAATTACTAAGTGAACTTTCTAAATGTTTTAAATTTGTAAATATATTTAAATCATCTTTCTCATCATAACACACTTTATTATAAACTGTGTCAACATCAATAATGTTTCTTATACTTGCATTATAATTCGGAATGAAGCATCTGTCTTTAGAGGAACCTAAAAGCCAACTAGATAAAGGAGAGAGAATATTTGTATTAACAGGCAGCCAATGTTTATCTTCCAATTCGGTTGCAAAGCTATTCTTACTCATACTTAAAATACCCCTCTTACTCGATAGTGTTCTAATTAAATTTTGATACATTTTTATTTCCTTCAAAATTTCAAATATTTCAGTTTCAATACTTCCCATAGCTTTCATCATTGTATTGGATTTACCATGTTTCCTATTATTAATGTGATATTGTGCAAGTGTAGGATCAGTGGATTGATTGCCAACACGTACAATATTTTCAGTCACCGGTATTAACTTTTTCAAAAAGTTGTCTAATGCTTGGTTTGTGTAACAAACAACAAGTATTTGTTGGTTTCGTAAATTCTGCAATAGAATTGATGCTATCTCTGCGCCCACAAACGTTTTACCAGTTCCTGGTGGGCCTTGTATTAAAACCAATTCTTCAGTTAATGCAGCTTTGATAGCTTCCAATTGAGAATCATTTAAACCAAGAATATCAGATTTTGGCCATGATGATAAATCAAAAATTGACAACTCATTGCCCTTATACTCATAACTAATAATATCTGCTGAATACTTTGGATGTTTTATTGCATTCTGAAAAAAATACTAGGCGATATAAGCAATAAATATTTCCATAATAAATGACAAGTTACCTTATTTTTTATTATATAATCTGCCATTGGAAGAATAAGTATCATGAATTTGAGAATCATTTGCTGGGATATTCACATACCTTACATTTAAGATGGTCAATTTTATCTTCTACTGTTGCAAAGTACACAACTGAATAATCACCAGTTGTTAAAGCAATTAATGATCCATACATGAATCGTTTAGTGCTCTGGGTAGGTAACCTAAAACAAAAATAAAAATTTTATGCTACTTATAATAATGTATATTGCAATATTAATGCAATACCTAGAAAATTCTGGACTACTTGATAAATCAAGCACGGTACATAATTTATTTCTAAGTAAAATTTCTTCTAATATATATACATTTTGGTAAATTGTCGATGTATACTTTTCCTCCAAGAAATTTTGCATTTGTTTTATTTTCAGATTGCTTAATCGATTTTCTGAGTGGTTTGAGAAAGTCTTCTCGTACAATGTTTATTTGAAAAGATATATATTCATCTGTGTTTTGATAATTCTCAACATAAAAATTGGATTGAATACAGTTTTCAGTTGTACAAAGGTCTTGAGCAGAAGGATATACTGAGACTTTTTGGGATTTCTGCAATATTTCAATCATAAATACCATTCATAATTTGGTACTTTGGTAAATCTTTATTTTTATTCAAGTTCCGTAAGTATCTTCCACAAGTATTTAATAGTTTTCCAAATATATCAATATGATTTTTGTTAATTATTTTAATACTGCATTTTAAAAAAATGAGTATATTTATCAAAACAGTTTCATAATTAAATAAATGTGCAGTACTAGAAGAGTTCATGGCATCATGAAGATTATGTAAAAATAAGTCATTTGTGCCAGAAATTAGTTTTGTTTTGAGTTCTGTAAAACTTGAACTACAAATCTTTCCAAGAATGTTTATTCCTGTTACTATGTCATCACGTGACAAACTATTATTTATTAAATCTATTACATCTTTTTTGTTACTGAGTAAATCCACGATTATGTCATGTGGACGATTTTCAGCTGCATATTCTAAATATTTTTGTGTAACCCTATTGAGTTTGTTTGCTTCCTTTATTTGTTTATGAATATTTATTGTTTCCTTATGCGATTCGTCAGCCTCAGCAGATTTTTTACTCTTATTTGCTTTTGATTTTGTGTTTGATTTTTCAACGAGAGCATAGTAATTTCCGCCATATCCTGAAAATAAATATTATATATATATATATATATATATATATATATATTGAAATAAATCAATTGGTCCACTTTAATTCTACCTGATGTGTATAGACCCATAGGCAAATACGAATCAGCATTTTCAATTCCGTATTTCGATGAATTTGCGTTACTCCGAGAATTTTGCATTTCTAGATTTTTTTTTATGATTTTGTTTAAATTATATTGTTCTTATACTATTTACTTTTATTTTAACGAACTAGCGTTAACCTCCATTCTATGAATCAATTTTGACACTTGTCCAACCTAATTCTCAAGAGGCTTCAGTTCCATTCCAACAATTCCATTTCTGTTATTGTTTATTTTTTTATTTTTGGAGACTGCTTATCGAAACTTTCTCGATTATTGTTTTTGATGGAATGTATAATGTTATTATCATTTAAATATATTATTTTTTATTCATTCTGCTTTTTTTTAAAAAAAAACTTGGCGCCAAATTTTACCACCAAAATTTAAGTGAAAGTGGCGGCACGTCAAAACTAGTCGTGTGTATCTACCCCTTATTTTTATTGGCGCTTTTATGGCGTTTTAAACATGTGTCATAAGGAAGGTAATCTTTAATAATAAAATTGTTTAAAAGAGTGAAATGAAATAAAAGAGTAACGATAAGATATAATTAAATAATATTGATTATTAATTAAATGATATTTATTTTTAAGTGACATTTGGTATTAGTGTATTTCAAAATCGATTTTTTCCTTTTGCTTGTGTTGGCAGCAGTGCATGTCTTGAAAGCCACGAACGTCATTTCGAGACAAGTTTTTGAAGAGTTGGTTTGATTTTGTAAGCGGATTATTAAACGCCATATTTATTGTAAAGCTTGTTGATGGTTCATCATGAGTGATTATTCTTCCGTGGCACCTCCTAAGAATTTTAGCCAGTCGACAGCTTTTGCTGCAGCCCTACAACGTGCAAAACAGGTAAGTTGCGGTCAAACTAGGTTCTGTAACAAAGCAGTGTACACTAAGTTGACGCCATTTTGAACCGACAATAATGGTGATTTTATATGATTTTGATATTCTTTATGTATATTATGTCTATTTTAATGTTGTTATTTTATTTTTAGATTGCAGCCAAAATAAATCCAACTAGTGCTGCTAGTGGTGCTGGTGGGCCGCCTCCGGGTTCAGGAGACGCTGGCAGACCGAAACGATCCCTAGAGGACGGTTCTGGTGAGAACAATTTATAATTTTCAGTCTTTTATTAACCCCTACGATATACAACCTTTATGATTAAGTATCTTATTCTAAGATAATTCAGATCAAGTTTTAGTTGAGGTTAAAATAAATCATACTTATTTTGTGAAGTGTGCTTTTTGTTATCATTATCAATTCCTGTAAGAAAATCATTTTTATTTAGATTAACATTTGAAATTACTTAAATTTATGCATACTTTGGAATTCTGAATTTTGATTTTGCCATATAATTTGTACTTGAAGACCTTTTTTGTTTAACCTTATTGTGATCCTTAGCCAAAGAGTGAAATGTCATTAATGTTAATAATATAATTTTTATGCAGAGCCAGAAGCCAAGAAATTAGCGGGATTAGATTATAATTCCTCAAATCCAGGAGGTTTAAGTGCAGCAGCAGCACAGGTAAGTTAATTAATGAAATATTACAATTAGTTTCATATTTTAAAGTTATATTTCCTATCATAGGCAGCAGCCGTGGCAGCACGTGTGGCACAAAACTTAGGTGGCCTGGGCTCTGGAGGGCCCATGGGTGGAGGTAGTGGCAGTGGAGGCACTTGCAGTGAAGATATTAGGGTACCCGATAAAATGGTTGGGCTTATTATAGGACGTGGAGGTGAACAAATAACAAGATTACAAGCTGAATGTGGTTGTAAAATACAAATGGCACCAGATAGTGGAGGCTTACCAGGTATGTTTTTTTACATTCTATATGTTACAGAATATTTTTGTTCACATTGTAACCTACTGATTTAGTTTAAATATTTTCTATCAGTGCATTTTAATATTTTCAAAGCATTTATCTATTATATACTGTATTTTAATTTTGTATATATCCATTTAGACAGATTATGTTCTCTGTCGGGTCCGAGAGATGCAGTTGCTAGGGCACGGGAAATGATTATGAACATAGTAAATCAAAGAGGAAGAACAGAGGGTATAGAAATGGGAGGAAATGGAGGTGGTGGTGGTGGTGGTGCTCCTCCTATGGGTATGAGTGGGCCTACATCTGTTGAAATTATGATTCCTGGCCCAAAAGTTGGTTTGATTATTGGTAAAGGTGGAGAAACAATAAAGCAATTGCAAGAAAAATCTGGAGCCAAGATGGTAGTTATTCAGGATGGTCCTAATCCAGAACAGGTATTAATATACAGATATTGTGATCATTTATTCTCCAATTATAAGATTGTTTCTTAATATTGTTTTTTATTTGTTTTAGGAAAAACCTTTGAGGATAACAGGTGATATGCAAAAAGTAGAATTTGCAAAACAGCTTGTTTATGATTTGATAGCAGAAAAAGAAATGCAAGCTTTCAATCGTGGTGGGCGAATGGGAGGTAATGGTGGCCCAGGCAGACCAGATGGAATGGGGCAGGACTTTCCTTCAGGAGGCGGAGAGTGGATTGAAGTAATTTTAGTCTTTTTTTAAAAAAAATGTTATAAATCTGCTTGATTATTGCTTGAAATTCATTGAGATTGAATACTTTATCATATAAGTTTTTTACCATAGATCAGTGTATTCATTAATATTTTTTTCAGGTATTTGTGCCTAAAATAGCTGTTGGTGTTGTAATTGGTAAAGGTGGGGATATGATAAAGAAAATTCAAATGGACACAGGGTGTCGTCTTCAATTCCAACAAAATAGAGATGAAGGACCAGGAGATAGATTATGTTATTTACAAGGCAAACCACAACAAGTTCAAGCTGCAAAAGATATGATAGAAGATTTAATTGATAGTGTGCAAAGAGATCCAAGTGAAAGAGGTCGCCCAAGAAATGGAAATAGACCAAATAATGGACAAGATTTTCAGAATTGGGCTGGTGGAAATGGATCTCAATCAAATAGAATTGAAGTGACCTTTATTGTTCCAAGTATGAAGTGTGGAGTGATAATTGGGAGAGGTGGAGAAACAATAAAACAGATTAATGCTCAATCTGGGGCACATTGTGTGTTAGATAGGAATGCTCAAAATAATCCAAATGAGAAATTATTTATAATTCGCGGAGAGCCTGATCAAGTGGAAGCTGCTAAAAGAATAATTTCAGAGACAGTACAAATGCCATTGAACTTCCAAGTTACTAGTGGTAACCCACAAGGTAATTGATATTAATTTCACAACATTAAAATTTTCTTGAATAATAAAATATACATTTTCATTTTGGTGCCATAAATATAAATACTTTTATACACTGATAGATGCATAAGAAATATACATAATAATCATAATCTCATTAAAAAAATTGGAAGTTGTGATTCTGAATTGAATTAATTTAATATTTTAGGCAATTCTGGTAATATGGGTCCCATGGGTCATACTGGTTATCCAGGAATGGGTGCTCCACAAGGTTACCCTGGAGCCGCACAAGCATGGGGTTACAATCCCCAAGGTTGGGGAGCGCCAGATCAGGCGCAGCATGCTCAAGCCCCAGCTGGTCAAGTACAGATAAATCCTGCAACTGGTCAGCCAGACTATTCTCAACAATGGATTGAATATTATAGGTATTACAGTTTTCTAATCTAGAAATATGTGAATTGGACATTTGAAAATTGTTGTATCATTAACTATATCATTATGTTCTTGTGAAATTATTATAAATTAGGTCAATGGGAATGCATAGGGAAGCAAGTATGATAGAACAACAAAGTAAAGGAAAAGCAGTTGATCCATCTGCAGCTGGTAATACTTATTTTGATATGATATTTTCGTATGTTGCTCTGTTGTAGATAAACAGTACTGACTTTCAATATTGGTTAAAATTTAAAGCAGGACAAAACGGAACAGCAGCACCCGTGCAATCGCAGGCAGCAGCACAACCTAGTCAACAAGCTGTTGCTGGAGCTGTATCTCAAATGGCAGGAGCACAACCTGACTATTCCGCTCAGTGGGCAGAATATTATAGGTCCATTGGCAATATTAAAGAAGCAGAAGCGATAGAAGCAAATATGAAACAGGGCAAGGTGGGTGAATTAAACTTCAGATAAAATTAGATTTACTACTATTTCTGGGAAAATATTTACATTAGTATAAAGTACAATTATACAAAAAAATGGAAAAGGTCATCCAGATCATTACCTGTACATATGTTGTTTTATATTTTTTGCACTTCCTTCATCTTTGTCCTGGCAAATGAAAAATGAAGTTGTATCAACTTCTGACATGTTTAAATAATCACTAAGAAATCAATTTATTAATTTATGAGTGATTTATAAGTAATCCAAGTTGCTGTAGAGCATCATAATGTGGAAAACTATTGAATATTATTCTAATTTTCTACAAAAAAAAATTACATTATTATACATATTTTATTAGTTCAGGTTTTAAATAATTTTTATAATTACCACTTTTGGTAGGTCTATTATATTTTAGTATTTTCATCAAGACCTGGTACTCTATTAACATCTCAAATCAGATTTTCTCACAAAATCAAACTTCTCCTTCAGTAAATTAATAAATACTCATTTATTCTATCCTAGGGGGCACAAGCATCTGCCGCTGCAACTACCCAACAGAATGCAACTAGTTTTCCAAATGCCGGTGTTAATACATCTGCGACACCACAAAGTCAACCAGGTCCACCTGGAGCTTATGGTCAACCAAATGCGCCGCCAGGTCAGCCTGGTTATCCAATGAATGCTGCTTCTTACATGCAAGCTGCAGGAGGCATGCCGAGAGCAAATCCAGCGGCAGGTGCAGGTGCACAGTTCCAAGGATACCCTGGATACGGAGGATACCCACAACAAGGAAGCAGTTAAATAGGTAAGTTGATTTTGATAAATTTAATGGGCTTAATCATTGAACTTTGACATTTATATGAAGTCAATAATTCAAGTCTAGATGACTTGATGATTTATATATTTTCTTAATATTCATAATTGACATGTTTATTTATCTGATGTAATATTTTTGTATATATTGATGATTTGTATATGTTTTACCATATATGTGTAACTGCGGCATCATATTATTTATGTGCATATATTATATATATGTTATTTATATAAACAAATATGTATAATTTGAATAAGGTACGTGATATCCATTGAGACACATTTGATTTAATATTTTGTTAAACTCTCTAAATAATTGATAATTATATATAAATTTTATTATTATAATTGATTTATTAATTTTATTATGACATCAGGTGAGTTGATATTTCTCTTTCGCACACCGTTTTATATCTTATACCAAAATGGAGAATATTTGTACCTTTTTATTCCAGAGGAAACTGATGCAAGCTACCGTTTAAGAGATGAATGTATTGGGATATGAACATGTAATCCATATTAAGTTGCTAACTATTCTCTACCTACATCAATGTTATTTTCATAAAATTACATTGTTTAATTATAAGAAAAATCTAGTGGATGCCCTTCAACAAATAATGTAAATAGAATATTGGACTTCAAGACTTCACCACTTTATGTACTAGTAAAAATGATTGTGGATTTAGTTTTAATTTTAAGATGTTTTAGCATATAGGATTCTTGCACATAGGTTTTATTTTTTATTATAAGGTAATTATATGTATTATAAATAACGAAAAAAGATCCCTTCTTTTGTAATCATATTTTATTCCCAGAAAAGACTTGCTATTTAAACCATAAGTCTAGAATTATTTCTATGTAAATTCATTCCCACAACCATCCATGGATTTGCTTGTGGAAAGCAAGCAATCAGTCAAAAAATCATTGTTTTGTCTAAATTTTGCAAATGAATTTGATTTGTAAATTTATAGATGAATTAATGGAATTATGTGAGCAGGAGTTCCATTCCTCATTCATTTTCTAAAGTAGGTCTCCATAATTATTTTGAAATGTGATGTGACTGGTGGAGCTTACTCTTCGTTCACACGGATTATTCTCTTTTTTTATTTATTAATGAATGCTTCCACTAAATTATGTTCATAAATAGTCTTGTTCACGTATATTTATATATTAATTTTATTTTATTGAAACATTTATGTCCAGAAATAATTTATGTCCAGTTTAATTACAAAAAAGTGGTACATCAGCTTGTTTGATGCATCTATATTGAAATGAAACAGTTTAGTTTGGAATCCTTTATTAGAAAGATCTTAATTTGTGATTTTATTATTTAAATGGATGCATCAACCAATTGATCACGAATGGGTTATCAATAGTAAGCTATGTTATATCAAAATGTGTAAATCATATGTCGTACATATTTAAATAATATAAATTTTTTTTGTCAATGCTTGGCATCACCATTCGAGCTATAATGGTGATGGTACTGAATGCAAAAGTATTTTGTTGTTTCTTTATAATCTTTTTATAAGCTGTTCCAGGATCCACCGATACAGATAAACCAGGTATGTGTATTTTTATAATTTGAAATTTCCAAACTGTTGTTAGGGTCATGTAATTGCCTATCGCTAGATTTGTTTTTATATGTTCCTTAGTTTTAATTATCTTCATCATATTTTATTTCCATTTTATTTTTTGATTTTTGATGTATGTTTTATAATTTGTATGAAGCATATTGAAACGAGTAATCTAAAATGTTCTGATTACTTGTTACAGGTTCGAAGCTCTCTCTACAATGGTGTATTTTAATGTTCATTATTTTGCATGTTATATTTATGTGTCCAGGTACATGTTTTTCTTTGGCGGTATGAATTAATATTTATTATTTTCCTGTTATGTTCAAAATAGGTACAATGCGATTATGGAGATCAACATATTTGGGGAGTTGTCCAAACATGCTCAATGCTATTTCTTATATATTAAAATGCGATTTTCATATTAAATTCTTTTGACTCGTATATCTATTGATAATGATGTTATGTATATCTTTAGGTATATAACTATCTATTAATTAGTAACATGTCTTATTTTATGATTATGGTTTATCATTTGTGATATGATATATGATTGCGTACTAATGCATTTCCATACATATATATTTCTATGCATATATATATATAAATTTTAAAATGTTTTGCTTTTAAGAATATGATCCGTACAAATTTTATATATTTACTAACTTGATTTGCAATATCTATTATTATATCATATTATTTGAATTTCAGTTTGAAATAAACTTTTGACTAAAATCAATGCATTTTATTACCGTCACATACATATCATTCCTTTTTTGTGTTGCATTGAGTGTGTTGATGGCTAAAATTTTCTCTTGTTGAACTTGAATTTACGAAGCACTTATTTTGTTTGAATTATGCCCCATTTGTACAATTTTCAATTTTGAACATCTTATTGCATATCATGTAATAGCAAAATCACATTAAGACTTGTTAAGTTTTCGAATGAATCACTTATTTAAATGTTTTAGAGAGAGTTGTTCGTTTATTTTCAATTTGAGGATTTGGGAATATAAATTATTTATTTTTTGTAGTGTTCCAAGTTCAACTTCATCTATTCGGCTGGTAAATGATTCCAAACAAAGGCAGTCACTCATATACCACAGGAATTAGGTGTAATTGCCTTGAGGCAAATGGCATTAACTTCCTTTATGCATAAATAATAATACAGTGACTTACAAATAACCCGACGTACGAGTATTTTGAGGTACGCTATCAAATGAGCAATTCGTTGCTTCGACATACGAGCTTTGAGCGAGTGAAAGTTTCTTCGAAAAGTAATGGCAAAGTAAATATGAAAATAATTGTCAGTACCATAGAAATATTTAAATACTGTTTTACAATAGTATTTTTTTTTTTTTTGAGCTGATAAAGGGTATAATTGCTGCTAAAGGCCGCATGCTGCTCTAACAATGGATAAAAATCACCAATCACCACAAAAAAGCATAGGAGTTGTTAAACGTATTGCTTCTAGATACGAGCGTCGTTCCGGGATTAATTAAACTCGTATGTCAGGGTAACTGTATTTTATCATTGTGCTTTATCATTGAGTGGTTTATTTAAGGATTCAATTAAGTGCGATGAATAGATCCGGCCGATCTTTACCGGAAACTAATCAGAATCAGTCCGATTTCCTGCTGTTAACTTTGTGATAGAATTTTCTAATTCGGTTCAGTATTTTGGCGAAAACGTGGGCGAAAAACTTGTACTAATTGTAAAAGAAACGTGTAGACTGATGGTCTTGCAAAATTGATTGACTAGTTTTAGCAACTGGTTCTTAAATTAAATCATTGCAGCTTGTGAAAAAAACGTTGATACAGAATCAAATTTTGGTTCACATATAACCAGTTCCGTATGAACAAGAAACAAACTTCTGAAAGTAAAAATATTTGGTGATACTTTTTTAAGTGATGTTCATGATACTGTAAATCTCATTAGTATGTAACTTTTCTTAATCATTTAATTTTATAATATACGGACATAAATGATAGAATGAACATAAATATATTATGTGTTTATATTTGTTGATTACTCATTTTAAGTACAAAACCTAGTATGGTTATATTGTATTTACAATGAATCAAAACTCTTATTCTAATCTTATAAAAGTTTATTATAGTAAAGATGCATTCATTCAGGTTTTTGTTCCAATTCCTGATTCAATTGGCGATGTCTCTTCATGTTTAATAGAATACCATCAAAACTGCTAGTCTTCTTTTTAGCAGAGCCTTTTAATTCATTTTCTCCAGCAACTCTCACCCTTATTTGAGGAGAGCTCATTTCGTCCATGAACTCAAAGTTTGATTTCTTCTCATCACTAAATAAATAAATGTAAGTGCAATGAATTTATCATAATTATATACTTTTGAATGATCAAACATCTTATGAATAAATTGATTAAATATATATATATATATATATATATATATAACATGATATATTATTATATTTATCTCACTTTGATTCCTGATCAGAATTATTAGAAGTCTCTTCATTTCCAATAGGTGAAGGAGGTCGACGACCAGGACATTTCCATTGCAGTTGTAATATACCATTCTTTTCAAGTTCTTCAAAGAGAACTTCTAAATCTGCAGGTGGTGGGTACCAATTTCCATCTCCATCTGTGGCCAATTCATCATCTGAACATGCTACTGACCAATCATCGTTACTTGAATTTTCACCATTTTCTTCAGTCATAGTTAATGGATATCTTTAAAGATTTGAATAGATTTATAATTGAAGGTGGAAATTGAAAATTCATGGAAAATAAGAATTGATGGAAACTGATTGATGATTATTTATCACAATGTAATTCATAAACATATTAACATCTCTCATCATAACTGAATTATATAAATTTGCAGACTGGTAAGTTAAAAATGTCCTTTTTATTAAACTAGTAATTTCTTTTAAATTATATTATTCTGTATCAAATTACAATATATATATATAATTGAAAAGAAATATATATCATAGAAAAGAAAGTTAGGTCATATGGAAGTTTAATTAATTCAACATACTTTTTGAGTGCTTATTTTACTCAAAACAATTATTGTTAAGAACATGTTTAATTCAGAGTTTAACCCAATTATAATTTAGTATTTTTTGTCTATTTTACTTGATTTTTTTTTATAAGTATATTAATTATAATGAATTATTCTTTATGTTATTAGTTATTGTATTATAGCATTAAATGTTCAATAGATTTGAATTGATAGAAGATGAGCCAAATCAGAAGTATATTAATTAAACTTCTAACTTATGCATTTGAATAGTTTTGAATTTGATGTTGATAAATATTTTGTTTGAATTTAAAAATCTTCCGTTACAACAATAAAAAATAGTAAGAGTTTATTGAAATTTATTTAAAATTCAATAGCACCTTAGCCACTATTGATTGCCACTGAATGAAGGCTAAGATTCTAGCCGAAACATATGGTTTTTAAATTAATTTCTAAAAACTCTCATACAATTTATATATATATATATATATATATATATATATATATATATATATATATATATATATATAGTAGATGGTAGTCTTGGATTTATAAATATTTTGTAGAGCTTTGAACAAAAATCCAAAATATAATCGTATATAATTTTATATTAGAGTAAAAAGTATAGCTCATCTTCAGCTTTTAAAAATCTTAAACCATACCATGCAATTGCCTCCTTTTGGATTTTTTGTTCATAGCTCTACAATATATATATATATATATATATATATATATATATATAATATAGTATAGTATAGTATAGTATAGTATAGTCGAAATAAAAAACTGTGTACAGAATGAATTTATAGTTATTTCGACTATTTGCCTACAGTATTATAATATGTATGCTAGTACAATTGCATTTAAGTATTTGGATAGTAAATGAAATTACTAATTCTACGCATGCTAATCATATACAAATATTCTTAGCTACTTGATTTAAAAACATACATAAAGGTACCAGATTATGTGCCTTATCGCAGTGCGCGTGGTTATAAATAATTTAATGTATAAAACTTGATTTTACGTGCATATAGTTGGCTTAATGACAGACAGGGCTTGGTCAATATTTGAAATCTAATTTTTTTTTTGATGAAAATCATTAAAATATAATTTATTCAATAAATCTCATTTGTTTTGCATTTTCTCTCATTTATTTGACATTTGACATAAACATCCTTAACCTACAATCAATTTTTTTACATTTGTCAAAGTACATTGATACCAAACCAACCAACATAATCCGCGGTGTCAAAATATATTCGAAGTTATTTATAAAATATTTTGCAAATATTTATTAATTTTAATTATTATTATTATAATACATTATTGAAAAGTTGAAAAAAGTGATTAGAGGTTCTCTCAAAGAATACCTAGACGATCAACATAGTGAAAGTTGTGTTTTTTTCGATAAATTATTTAAGTGTTTGTCGGGGGTTTATTTAGCTCATTTATTGCATTTATCTTATCAATAACTGAATTAGTGATGATTATAAATAAATAAATATGAACATATAGTAATAATGTTGTATTTTATATTAGTTTGAAAACGTTTTCAGCATGCATTGATCTTTTCAAAATTATATATGGCCTAGCTGCCTTATTGTATATATAAATGTATATATTGATTTTTACATCATTAAATATGTTCTAGCTGCCTTATTTTGTATATGAATTAAATATAAAAATGTTTATATGAATTACATCAAGAGATGGATAATTAACAATTCAAATTCCCGCCATTCTACTTGAAGATGCATGCAGCGCCTCTATGCAAAATCGTTCCCAGTTTGTCGGGAACTACGTAGTGACTACCGGGTTCATATGGTTCTGTGTTAGATGTCGCCACCTGTACGTCAAACGTTTGACACAATCATACAGTGAAACCAACTGCAACAGACGAAGTTTTTACTGTCGTGGTCGGTTGTGTCAAAATGTTTTCGAGGTTATGTAAAAACTTTAAATATACATATTCATAATCATGGCAGTTTGGCTTAAAATATTTGTTAAATATTTGTGTTTTCTTTATTAAAATATGCAAAGTGAAATCATTATCATGTAGAGTTCTGCAGCATCAATTAGTATCAGAAGTTGTAGCAGGAAGCAGTAAAGGTAAAATATATAATAATAATGATAAATAGTTGTCTGGCTGAAACCAGGGCTATAATGTGAGAACATCATAGATCTGGCTATGAATGATTTTTTTCCTTCCTTGTTTACTATTCCCATTACGATTATTCACCTCTTCTACACATTATTTTCTTTTTTTCAATTTTCTTTTCCAAACTAATGCTTTCATGCCTCTTAGTCTTGTGCTTTGTAAAACACCAAAATTTATCTGCACTCTTCTTTCCAATCTTGTTAGTCCTTTGAGTTCACCTTCAAAGACATCGTGCAAGAGGCACTCTTTTTGCAGAATGGTTCTGGTCCAGTTTCCTTTTCTTTTAATGATCATGCTCAGTAGAGTTTTTTCTTCGCCCACTTTTTTTGTAGTTTTTCATTTGTTATCTTATCTGTTCACTTCATTTCCTTCATTTGTCTCCAGCACAACAATTTAAAACTCTCGAGACAGTTTTTGGGGGATATATTAACGAATATTAAATGTTAAATATGAACAATACAACACTCAGATTTTTAACACACACTTTATTTAATAATTACAGAAGTTTCGAGATCATAGTATGCCTCATATTCAGTGTAATTTCAAAAAAGTAAAAATGTATTAGTACACTGAAAATGAGGTATACCATGGTCTTGAAACATCTGTAGTTATTAAATAGTTATATATAGAATTCTTTCGATATATATATATATATATATATATATATATATATATATATATATAAATATCGAAAGAATTCTGAGTGGTTAGATATTGATGTGCACTCTTTTTGCACTTATTTATTAAATGATATTAATTTTACATTTTTAATCAAGACTAGATTTGCCTCATCTTCAGTGTAATATAATTTTCAGTAACATAAATAAATTTGTGGTAACTGTTTCACATACTTCTGCTGCTTATGAGTCTCGAAACATCTGTAAAATTAAGATTATTTAATAAGTAAGAGCGAAAAGAATGCTGTGTGTTTATATTTCTCAATTAATATGTATGTATGTATATATATATATATATATATATATATATATATATATATATATTACATTATATTTTTATGAAATTGTAAGTCAAGAAATATTTTTGACAAAAGAATAGTTTTAAAGTCATTTAATTTTTAAAACTGTTCACAAATCTTATTACTATGTTTTGTTCATTTTAATTGCATAAACAATTTCTTACAAATCAAAAAACTATCTACTATGAAAGACAGTAAAATTTCTCTGGAAAGATCATAACAAGTAATAATTCAACTTTACTAAACTGTAAATTTAGTAAAAGCATCAATTCTCATCAATGATATAATTATTTTTAGATATACAGTTGTAAAAACATACAATATATAAAATCGGAATGAAGAAATACTAATAATGCATATCAATTGGTAATAAATTAACGGAATAAAAGAACAACTTGTTTTTACATTGACACTTTCAATAACAAGGAAAAATTATTATTCAATAATAACATATAATGTAGGTTTTATCAATAGCTTATAGTTTTAACGAGTTTTAGTTGTGTCACATATACCAACCACATAAGAATATAGAAATCACTCATGTGTTGGATTTCAATTTTAATAACCAATATCCACTCGGTCAATTCAAAAGTTGTTAAAAGTAATAAAATTTGTACTTGTGCTGTATCGAAAACTCAGACATTCTTAAACCATATCTTTCTTTGCACTATTCTGAATAAATTAATGCAAATTTGTTGGGTATCAATTGAATGAAGTGGATTTTTCAAGTAAAACAAGTTTTATGTTTTCAATTTATTGTTAATATTATTGTATAACAACCTTTAATTTTATTTTTGTTTTTTAAGTCTTCCGGGTACGTTTGCTTGTGATAGTAATCTTATATCAGCCAAACCTTTGTTTCTAAAAAATTGCTTTTCTCTATCTTTTTTCAAGTCTAACAGTCTCTGCCCTTGTGATACATCTAAGCCAGGTTTGTAATAATTTATCCCATTATTGATGATAGTGGTTTTCATCGGAGCAATTACTTTTCTCACATGTATGTTGTGTTCTTTTTCCTCTCCTCCTCGGATAATTTTGCTCTCTATCAACTGTGGGTTTTGTATGAATTTTGCTCGATGGGCTACTGTTGGTTTTTGTTTGAGAGATAACATAGCTGGCATTACAATTATAGGCTTTGGAACAGCATGTTCTTTAGATAGACATTGTACCATATTGGGCGCGAATTCAATTGGTGAAGGTTGCGATACCAATACTCTACTATGCATTGACGGAAAATTCCCATTCTGTATCTCCTTGAATGGTGCACAGGTTTTTGATATCTGAGTTTGCATACAGTTTTGTTGACTCTGGTTTGCAAGGACATCATTGTTTTCCATTTGTTTATTATGTACTGGCCCCTTTTCATGCAATGCATCGAAAAAGCTTCCATGCTCTGGAATTTGTTAAAAGTGTTGTTATTTCTTCCTAGTAAGATTATACATAGTTATATTTGAGAGGTACTTTAGAAAAAGAGTTTTTGGTAAAGAAAACTATGTTATTAAATTTAATGTCTTAGTAAGGGATTTACCCTTAGAACTTGCTCTGAGGGCAATTTCAATTTAACAAATTGCAATCTTTTACTAGAGTACCCATCAGCTATTGTCAAAAATATAAATCCTAAAAGTGGAATAATTCTACCCTTCTCCTGGAAAATGCGCTTTTTCTGAAGAATGCTGTAAATTCCGAATTTATGACAAGGTAGTTTTTCCGGGTCACCATAATTCATCATCCTGTAAGGTATTTCGAAATTATTATAATTATTTTAAAAAAATACAATATAATAATCTCATAACCGAAAATTATATCCTTCTTTCCATAACCAGCCCTCAGCTTGTTCTAAGTAGGTCTGTTGGGGTCCGATAACTGAACCTGGTCTGCAAATTCGAAGCCAGGCGATGGACTCCCGTGCTCCCATATCGTAATGTTTTATGAGGAATGCTCCAATCAAAGTGCCTGTTCTTCCCAAACCAGCCTGAAAGATAATAATTTTATTACATAGAACGATCCAGCCGATCTTTCTCAAAAACTCATCGATTCCTAACTGATATCTTTCGAAATGTTTTCTAATTTTTAAAATCGGTTCAGGATTTTGGGCTACAAATAGGATTTTTTTTGCACTTTTGTGCTAGTAATTTAGAAACGGCTACATCATCTCGCAAATCAAAATAATGCGAGTCCTAATCTGGTTCCATCCAATGGCTTTTAAATTTTTGAAATTAGTGCAGCATAAATTTAGATTTCTTGTAAAATTCCTGTGTCTTTGTATATCTGGTGTGAAATGGCAATGGGAAATCTCTCACGCTATTGTTCCCTGAATCGAATTGGAGTTTAACTCAGGTCACGGATCTGCTCTAGGGCAGTGCTACCCATTAATTTTTTTACCTTGCAATGAACAGCAATTGCTCCTGGTTCTCTTTCTGATATGTTAAGGAATTCAGTTAAAACATGCCTTGGAGGAGTTGATCCATCCGGGAAAAATAGATCAAAATGTTTTATTCCAGCGTTTTTAAATCTGAAATCGTTCGAATTAATTGTAATTAAAAAGTAATTATTTAGGTATTTTTTTAACTGCACCGGTGGTCAATTATCTATATTATTTTTTTTTAAATGTACATACTTCTGGGAATCATACTGCGGTCTGTTCAGCCTTATGACAGTTCTCACATTGTTCTTCTTAAAATATGTGATGTACAATTCAGGCGCTTGCTCTCGGCTAGTTTCCGTGGGTCCAGGAAAAGCTATAAACTTATCTAAAAAATACGTTTATGAAAACATATATAAACAAAAATCTATCCCAACCATATTTTATAGTTATTCTTACTTGGAACAATCCACGTGATATCGCCAAGTCCTATTTTTCCCAATCTATCATATTCGTTGCAGTCAAAATCTGTGAAGTTAAAAATTCTTAAGGTGACTGCTCGATGCAGAGCTTGCAGGCAATCAAGAATTGATATGTGGTAATTGGATTCTTTTTGGGATGCATCTTGAAATGGTCTGAAAACTATGAATGTATTATTGCTTGTAATATTACAACATGTATAATAAATATCTATGTGGCACATAACAATATTGTTCATGTATAGTAAATTATTAGCTGGTACATGTTTTGGATAACCTGGTTGGTACCTCTCCAACTAGGAAAACACATTATCATTGACTTTCATTAGGGCAAGTTATAGTAATCGCAAAAAAATCTAAAATGAAAATGTTTGCATATCTTCCCGTTTCAAGACCTCCTGAACATTTTGGCATACCTTAGAAAAAATGGATGGTCCACGGTTTCGAGAGCACAAATCAACGGATTTGTTCGACTTAAAAAGCATTAGATTCTTATTGATGAGGAAACGTGCTGATTAGTTTTTGGCAAAAACAGGTACAGCCATTTCGGATGTACCAATTCAGTTTTGGCCAGAACAGGGCATCTTATTATTAGATTGGTTAAAAAAAAAATGATTTGTGTTGACGGATGGCTAGTTTTTGGCAAAGACAGGTGGGATACAGAGCAAAAAGTTCTATGAACGGTTTTATTCGTATTGATAAGGAGACGTGCTGATTAGTTTTTGGCGAAGGCAGGTCTAGCCGTTCCAAATATACGGGGCAAAAAGAGCCAAAAACGGTAACACAGGTTTTAAGAGAACGGAGCGTCCGATTTTATTATTTCAAAAAACATTTTACTTGTACTGACAAGATGAAGAACTGATTAAATTTTTGTATGTATGTATAAATTGTATAATTTTTTTCGGGTTTCGTACCAAGATTTTTAATTACGGTACGGGAAGTTCCAGCAATTTTCCTTAAGGCACGATGTCATGCACCCCACTAGTTGCGAAAGCAATTCCAGTGGTTTTGGAGATGCAGAAAAATGCCAATTTGTTGGTCAAATATAGTCTTTACATTGATTCATATACAAATATAATAATTGGTAGACAGGGAGACAAATAGACAGGTAGACAGATAGACAGGTAGACGGTTGGGCAGGTAGATAGGCAGACAGGGAGACAGATAAATAGGAAGAAAAGTAGAAGACAGATAAGCAGGTTGGCGGTCATAATTGGTAGACAGGGAGACAAGTAGACAGGTAAACGGGTAATAAAAAATGAAGAAATGGATACAGATGGACAAACTAGTAAAATGATAGACAGATAGACAGGTAGGCTGATAAACTGATAGACAGGTAAGCAGGTATCTAGTATAGAAGTAGTCTGGTATTAGTCCTGTCATTTAAGCTTAAATTAGGTAAGAATCTAGGATTTCTACATAGCCAGCTGTAAGTTTGTAAATACTTCTATATTGACACCTAAAAGTTGTCTCAAATCCTAGATATGGTAGGGTATAGGCAACATATGTAGGTTTTGAGACAACTTTTAGATATTAGAGAAAATATTAGATTTTAGAATATACAAGTATTTACAGACTTACAGCTGGTTATCTCGAATTCCGATGTGAAATTACTATAATGACTGGACTAATAGAATTATTCTGGTATAAAGAAGTAGACGGAAACATGTAGACCAGGCAGATAGTTAGGTGGATTGGTAGACAGGTAGATCATATATAATTTTAAAAAATCGATTTTTTACTTAATGGGAAGTGTATGCAATTTGCCAAACTGCAAAATAAGATTAATAGGAGGAATAAGCTATTGAGGTGCATTTAGTGAAAATTTTGATGTGTCTTCTCTTTTTTGTACTTATTTTGGAGTTGATCTCTAAATTATTTGCTACAAGTTAAATTTTGATTATGAATCTTATCTAAATGCCTACTTGAATGGTTTTCCTTTATATTTGACAGTGTAATATGCGTCGTTCGGCGACTGAGCCAAATACAGAACCGCAAAAGCCGATATTAAAAAAGCAGCATTCGCCCTTTTTTGAGGATCAGTCGAAGTATAATGTATTACCTTCTGACCAGGTGTAGTTTTCAGTTTATTGTTTAAAATATTACAATATTTGTAAAGACATGATAAATTTAATGGTCCGAAATCCGTATAAAAATTATGGTACACCAATTCATCGTCGGTTGAGAAGAATACAGTTTCACTGGTAGATTTAGGTGCTCGGCCAAGTATTGTTGCGAAATATAATTTGTTCTTCAAGAATTGAGTCAAATGCTTAATTTCACAATTACTGGTATTGAAAATAAAATCCATTTTAAAGTAATTTTATGCCTGTTACATGCTTGTATATCAAATAACACGTATTGATAATTTTGGTTTTCTAAACGGTTACAATTTTGAATGAGAATACACTTATTATTTATTTGTCATTACGAATTTTGATTTTTTTTGTTTTTGTTTTACTTTTATTTTTTTATTTTTTTTAAACAAAGTTGGTTTTGCTTAAGCATAGGTTTGCACTTAATTTATTTTAGCTCATTTTATGTAAAAATTTATATTTTCACTTTTATGTTTTTGCTAGAAAAATTTTGCTAGATGTGCTACTGCTAATAAATTTTAAGATTTTTAAATAGTTTGACACCAAAATTTTGAAAAGAGCGTGTTCGTGTTTGTGAACCAAATTTGACGTCGTTTTCTTAAAACGGCTGAACCAATTTTAAAATTTGAAATTCATTTGATGAAAATCGATAGAGACTTACGTTGATTATTTTTATGCGACAGCAAATTTTGTTTTTTTATAGTTATCAGATAAGTGGGAAGGTTTCATCAACGTTTTTGCTAAAATCCTGAACCAATTCTGAAAATTTAAAAACAGAAAAATATTAATTAGGATTCCTATTAAAAGTGGTTTAATTATAAAAATTATATACACGCATTTAGAAATCAAATTGAGTGAAAAAACTGCATTGTGCCTTAACGCAAATTGCTGGAACTTTCCGTACCAAAAATTATTTTTTTAAATATTTTAAAAACCATTGAAAAAATGGTTTGAGAACATTTGAGAATGGTTTGATGTTTGAGAACTTTGACATTGTTGAAAAAAATGTACTTTTTTGAAAAGTTTTTTGTCATTTTTTTTTTTGAAAAAAAAGAATTTCTATGCAACATTTTGGCATACCTTAAAGAAAATGGATGTATGTGTGTGTGTATGTGTGTGTGTGTGCGGATACAAATTTTTGTCGACGATTTCGGGAGCACCGATCAACTGATTTGAATATTTCAAAAAACATTCAATTCGTATTGATGAGGAGACGTGCTGATTAGTTTTTTGCGAAGGCAGGTTTAGCCGTTCCGAAGATACGGGGCAAAAAGTGCCAAAAACGGTAACTCAGTTTTTAAAAGAACGGGGCGTCCGATTTTAATAATTCAGAAAACATTTTACTTGTATTGGCAAGATGAAGTACTGTTTAAATTGTTGAAAGGCAGGCCTAGCGGTAATGGTAATGTCTCAATAAAAATAATTTAAAAAAATGTCATTTGGCGGTCAAAAATGTTTATTGGACATATGTACATCAGATTATCAGATATTTTATAGAGATTTTTATAATATGTACACATTTTGTGCAATTTTTTTGGGTTCCGTACCAAGATTTTTAATTTCAGTACGGAAATTTCCAGCAATTTGCCTAAAAGCACGATGCCATATGCACTTCACTAGTTAATCTTGCGGTCCAATAACAGTGTATAAACAATCAATTGGGTAATTAATTTGTTCAATAGTATTATAATTCGAAAATATTATTTTTTAGAATATACAGATTGTGGCAATAAACATCATAATCATGAGCCATTATTGCTTTCAAAAATAGGGCCAAGGAAAGATATATTAATGTATTTTTAAAGTGTATTGTAAATCTTCGTTTTTCTATGCTACATCAATTTGCTTATATTATACAAGAATATTAAAGATAACATTTCAAATCGCTGAAACATTTTTCTATTCTTTTATAAACGATCCCTGAATCAAGATCTTCCATTCGTACTCTCGCATGTTTTTTTTTGAGTTTCAAATTTCCCGCGCCATGAAGAAAGTAATTGTCCTGCGTCACCATGTATGAGTGTGTAGCCAACTTCATACTGCACTGTCTAAACTCTTTGTCATAGTAAGATGGCTGACGTTTGTTTGTTCGTGGTTTGAGTCAAAATCCAGTGTACATTGGAAATAACTGTTATAAAAGACATAAAAGTGAAACTTTTGATAAAATGATATAATTGATTGTGCTGATAGTGAAGAAATTGTCAAAGTCGAGGAAATCATTCATTGAGAGTCGAATATTGTAGAATTAATTCACTGCATGGCTATCAGGTATGTCAGATGTTTATTTCTATGTGCCAAAATACTTTTTTGTAATAGATTATGGTTAGTGTTCTTCTTGTTGTATATAGTATGTGGTTGCGATTAGGTAATATAAATGCTTATTTCATCTTCGTATATAAGATGTTCTTATGTACTAGAATATTTGTTGTCATCACAGAGAGTGACAATAAAATTAACATTAAAAAAGTGGAAACACTATGAGTCAAGTTATGTGGCATATGTGCCTGTTTATTTTATTCAGATAATTTTATCTATACTGTTAAAAGTTATGATTTATATATTTCCGCATGTTGTGCAAGTCGATAGTGCAAATAAATCCAACATACACATAAGTTTTCATATGAGTTGGATTGCTACTTGATTTTAATAATGTACAAACCAGTAAAAGATGGTTTTTATGTTTATGTAAATATTCATACTGGCTCTTTAATGAATATTCATAACTACGTTTTCTAACTCTATAATTTATTGTTATTATTAACTTCCCGTAGGGCAAGTTATAGTAATCGCAAAAAAATCGAAAATGAAAATTTTTATATATCTTTACGTTTCAGAGGTTTCTGAACATTTTGGCATACCTTAGAAAAAATGGATGTATGTGTGTGTGTGTGTGTGTGTGTATGTATGTATGTGTGTGTATGTATGTGCGGATACAAATTTTCGTCGACGATTTCGGGAACACGGATCAACCGATTTGAATAATTCAAAAAACATTCGATCCGTATTGATAAGGAGACGTGCTGATTAGTTTTTGGCAAAGGCAGGTCATGCCGTTCTGAAGATACGGGGCAAAAAGTTCCGAAAACGGTAACTCAGTTTTTAAGAGAACGGAGCGTCCGATTTGAATAATTCAAAAAACATTTTATTTGTATTGACAAAATGAAGAATCGATACAACTTTCATGAAGGTAGGTTCAGCGGTTTCGGAGATACAGAGAAAAAAGTAAAAAAATGAGCCATTTGGCGGTCAAAAATGATCATTAGACATATGCACATCAAATTATCAGATATTTTATAGAGATTTTAACAATAAGTATACATTTTGTTAACATTCCTATGGGTTCCGTACCAATGCTTATGCGTTAGACAGCGACGCGGCGCTTACGCGCTTTATATTTTGTCCCTATGTAGTTAAAGCAGTACGATTGCTCAGAAAAAAGTTCAGATCTTCCACAATATGTCAAAATAAAGAAAAAAAAATTTTTTTTCGAAAAAAAATTTTTTTTAAAAAAAAAAATTTTTTTAAAAGATTTTTTTTTCAAAAAAAACTAATTTTTTGTCCAATTTATAGTTTCTCAAAAATCTTATTTTTTCAAAGTAATTTTTTTTCAAAAATGTTAATCGTTTTTAAAAAAAATAATAATTTTTGGTACGGGAAGTTCCAGCAATTTGCCTTAAGGCAGGATGCCCTAATTGCCTTAAGACAGAATTCCACTTACAGCTAGTTTAATTCACTATGGTGATAAATAAATCAATAAATTTCTTTTAATCTATCAATCTTAATAAATTCAATATGATATGCATAAAATGGCATAATGTCTCATTATTTTAATTATGAGTTTTGATGTAGCGTGGTCATTTTTAATTGTTGCAGAAATGTGGTACTTTGAAACCAAAAAAACTTCTTACAAATTTATAAATTTATTAATATTTATTAATAATAATAATAATATCAATTTATTAATATTAATATTAACTTCAATAAAATTGTTTTTATTCTTTTTTCATCAAAAATACATTAAAATCCAAGAAGTTTTTCTACCCAGAAGATACTGAGACTTACCTTAACTATTCGTCCTGAACTAAAAGTAATTGCGTACTGAAATACAATAGAACCCCGTTAAGACGATTATGTTTAGAGCGTTTTTTTGCACAATTTGCCACTTTATGACCCTCTTGCTCTCTTTGCAACATATTCTTGCTATCCTGCTTAATACGCTTTCTCGCACAAGACGCGTTTGTGGCCCGGTATCTAGAAAATAATCTTAGTGTTTTACAGTAATAATAATGAGTAGTTTTGCCCTAAGGCATAGCGTGAGATTTCTCATTGCCATGTTACACCGCAGTGCCCGAAATGGGCTTTTTGCAATTGGAAGCATATTTTTAACTTCCCGTAGGGTAAGTTATTGTAATGGGCCGAAAATCGAAAATCAAAATTTTTACATTTCTCGACGTTTTGAAGGTTTCTGAACGTTTTGGCATACCTCAGAAAAATGGATGAGTGTGTGTTTTGTATGTCCGCATTTTTTCGGGCGCACGGATCAACCGATTTGAATGGTTAAAAAAACATTCGGTTCCTATTGATAGGGAGATGTGCTGATTAGTTTTTGGCAAAGGCAGGCAAAATAATTCAGAATTTAATTTTAATTCTGACTAAAGTTCTAATATATTTTAAACAAATACTTTCAACTTTGCAATTCAGTTTATATAATTCTTATAAATATTCGACAATGTTACAATATTTATAATAATCTATTTGAAAACATTGAATATTCTTCGAACATTTCGTTACGGTACGGGAAATTCCTGCAATTTGTCTTAAAGCACGATGCCATACGCCACTTGTTATAATAAAAATAGGAAGATCAAAATATTTTTTTTAATGACAATTATTTTCATTCTCGTTCTCATTTCTCTTTTAAATTGCAAATTATTTAATTATTATATGACGCAATTTGTTATTTAGAATTTTGTATTGAATTAATGAATTAAGGATTAAATTGTCTGTAGACTATAATAAAGGGGACCCATTTCGCACAGAACGAATTGCACATCAGAGTCGTTCCAATTAAATAATAGCTTCCTTGTTATGATAGTTCCAATGATTTCACAGTACACGTGCACTCAGCAAACTATGGTAGGGCAGGGTCGGCTCTACCATAATTGAATAACTGGGTTAAAGGATGGAGACATTAACACATATATATTCTATAATT